GAAAAGTATTGTCAAAATTAATTACTATATGAAACCCTGATGACATCTTAGGAAGATAACCCAGTGTTTTAGAAGAACATTGTTACTTAGACTAAACAAAACCTACTATCCCTCTCTTTCCCCTAAAAAAAAMCCAATCCTTCCAATTTGGAAAGTGTGGGAACCCACAAAATTGAATTTCCACTTGAAAAACAGATTATGAAAAAACAAATATTGGAAACTACAGAACACAGTTAAGGTTGGCCAGACAACCATTGCCATGCCTATCTTCTTTTCTTTAGTACTCCTCCCATATTTTTTAAAAACAGCATTCCTCCTTAAATCATTTTAATTGCTATCTAACCTTCAGAAGTCAGTAATATTTTGGAAGCAACATTGTACACATATAATTTTATTTTGGAGAGTAAAAACAAAAATAAAGAATACCCAACTTAAATGTGTTTAAATGTAATCCATCATTAGTATATTAATTTTGGCTTTTACTCTATGACTACCATGAAATAGCTCAAAATAGAAGCTAGCTCATGTTCAAAACTTTTAGCTATACAAAAGAATTGAAAAATGTCTCAATTTTTTTCTTGAACTGGTCTATTAATAAAACTTGTATAAGTCTCACAGAAGAAAAGATTTCAGTTATACAACTTCATTTGTGTGAGTACTTATCTGTTTAAGTTAAAAGAAACAAGGGCACATTAGGCTGTGGATTGTAGCGAATAACACAAAGATAGTTAGACCAATTTAAGCTGGTATTACAAGACAGAATCTCCAGCCTATCCAAACATATTCCTTATTATGCAGGAGYTTGTCCTTTAAAATTTCTGATTCACTGTCTGTTCAATTGCAAAATGTATCTTCCTATGCTTTCTGCATGCTTACGAAGCAAAGCAGGAATCTACATTTCTGCAGCACTGTTGAAACAAAAACCTGAAATACAGTGCCAGTAGGTCAAGRATGAACCTTTACTATAGGAAGGGCTCTTGATGTTATTGAACGGCTGCAATAACACTACTACCAAGTAATCAGACTGTGTCTACATTTGTTCTTGTTTTATAAATCAGAAGYGGTATTAAGGTCGCTTGGGTGACCTTATCTATGTTTTTCTACACTCAAGCTTGGCGGGCACTGAAAGCATTTCCTGAGGAAAGTGACCTTCCTGGTAAGAAACCTGATCTTACAGGTATCAAAAAAGCCTAAAAGATCTCTCAGCAGATTGACCAGGACAATGTTAACATGCCAGCAATCGGAAGAATGTTATGTATCAAGCCCCATATGAATTTGATGAATATAGACTACAAGGGAACTAATATTCTCTCAACATTAAACACGAAACAACAGAAAGATGAATCTGGACTGACTAAATCTACAGAATGAAGACATGTCAGGTGAGAAGGCTGTTCATCTTCTTACCAAAGCTAAAGTTGTGTGTTTAGCACAACAACAATACAGTATCATCTCATTCTGGGTCTGAAACTACTCATATATGTAAGTAATGTATTCTATTATGCCTTTAAAAAAAAAGTATGCCCAGCAAAACACAACTCTAAGTACACATAAGTACATGTACCACTGCACSAACCAAATGTCATAAGTACACTTACCAGTATCATAAACACATACTAGAGAATTTATATTCCAAAATATGTATACATAATATCAACCAATGTACTATACAAGAGCCTACTACAGTATATAGCAACAACCACAGTGTTTCCAAACAGTCTGAAGAACTTAAACTTGACATATGATTTACAGTTCTTGAATTTTTTTTACTCTAAACAGTACTTTTATTTTAAATGTCACAGATACACATTCATAAATCACTGCAAAAAAAAAAATCATTGTTTTATCATTAGTTGTTTTAAACTGATAAAAGACTAATGGAATCAACAATTCAACAAATTTCAGATATGTGTTTATTAGTTCAGGTTGTTATATGAGGAATGAGGAATCTTCTGTAACTAGCTCCTGTATAACTGTAGACCAAGTTCTAAGGCACACACACACACACAAAACAAAATAGAAAAGAAAAGAAAAGAAAAGAAAAGAAAAGAAAAGAAAAGAAAAGAAAAGAAAAGAAAAGAAAAGAAAAGAAAAGAAAAGAAAAGAAANAGAAAAGAAAAGAAAAGAAAAGAAAAGAAAAGAAAAGAAAAGAAAAGAAAAGAAAAGAAAAGAAAAGAAAAGAAAAGAAAAGAAAAGAAAAGAAAGGACATTTAGTGCTAAAACACTGAACTTCTCAGTATTGATCAACAGGACATTCTATTTTGGTGCAAACAAGAACGTTTGTCAAAAATTAATTTCCCTGTCAGCAGTGCAATGTACATAGTCTTCACAAAATTTGAAAGTGCCACAATATGCAGTATATATAGTATAATTTTTAGCAAGAATAAACAGAATATTTTCTCTAATTGTAAGTTTCTAYAGGAAAGAAAAAAAAAGACAGTTCTTGCTCTATCTCCACCTTATGGCTAGAAAAAGAACTTTCTGCTATAGACAAAATATTTYTGAACCTTTTCTTTTTTCCTTTATTGTGTCATTACAGCACTGAGAATATTCCCTATTTTTTAGTTTAAAACTTAAGACTTCTTTCTGATAGCCATTACATTCTCTTACACACAAGGACAATGAAGCTCCAATGAATGAATGTCCTCTGTAACATCTGTGTTGATTGYCTGACTCAAACCACCAAATTTAATGATCAAAGCTGAGATTCATATTGAAAAGCTGAGATCCAAATTGAAAACCCACAAAACTATACAAGTTTACATATTTGTTTATTCAACCGAGAGTTAAGAAGCTAAAATTCTCCACAGCTTTGAACTTCACTAACACGCCATTCTCGATGTTCACAGACTATCTATAGCTTTAAGCATATTATTCAGGTGATTTATAACATTCAAAGTATTACAAATTCAAAAAAAAAAATGCATACATCCAGTTTTAAATTTTTCACAGCCACTCATAGAGCACTCTGTGCAAGCAAGCTGAGCCGGACAGCTGGAATAGTGCATGCTCCTCAAGAGAAGGCTTAACTTGGCAAACAGCAGATCCTTCTTCATCAGTCACTCCATGTATGAGAGAAAGCYGAAGTAATCTGCTCTCCCTTCACAGCCACTTCCATATCAATAAGTATCTGCTTACTTTATTTACTTATGATATCACCTGCTGGCTATTAGGCTAAAATCAGCTACCTCAGAAGCTGGAACTCAAGGCAAGAGCACTAGAAATGCTTTTACCAAATTATTTGATTCTCTGTTTTGTCTTTTTCCTCTCACTTTGGCAAAAACTGAATAAATAGATGTCTAGTATGCCTTGATCCATTTATAGTCTTTGACAATCTTTCCTGAAATGGAGACCCACAACCATACCTATTACTTATCTCATTCCCCTAAATCTCTTCAAACCTACCTTTGCAGCCAAAAATATTCAACAAGACATCTGAAGGCCTACATTTGTTAAGGTTCAGAAAAGTAGACCAGTAGAAACGTATTTATATGTCAGCACAGCTCTTCCCTCAACAAGCCTTCCTTTTTTTCCTTCTCACAGCAGAGAATCAACATAAAGACTAAATCCCCCAAATACATACAACTAAAATCAAACTTCATCAAGCCTTCTCTTCAAAGATGTAGTTCACGAAGACATGTCCTAAAACTTCATAGTTTAATGTTTTGTCATTAGCCATCTATTTTTAAAGTCACCGGTGGAGAGAGAAAAAAAAGAAAAGATTTTAAAAAGGAAATATTCTTCAAGGAAATATTACAAATGAACACCTTTATGGCTATTTAGACAACATAAAGGCATGCTGAAAGATCTGCCAAATGTTAACATAATTAATTCTGTAGTGTGATGTACAAAAATAGARTATTGTATTTCTGAATGCAAAATTGCTTGAATAGTTTTAATTTTCAGTAAATTTTTATTTAAAATTTAAGAGATAAAGCATGCTTCTTTCTCTGGTTTTCTCAATACTTGCTCTCTTCAGATATTTTCAAATGTTCAGAGTATTGGTAGACTAGTGAGAGTACTTTTTCCTCCTCCAACTTCTTACAGTATATAGCACTCTCCTATTACAGTCCCTTTCCCACTAAAAGAAAAAGGGGGGAAAAAAAGCYTTAAATCTGTGCTAAAAACACTATCCAAAAGAAAAAATGAAGAGCTAAGTCTTAACACCAGCTACCCAAGTCTTACCTCCTTTTCTCAGTGATAGCTGTTCATCCACCTGCTACTATCACCACACCATGAAAATTCCACTAAGCTCTAAGATGATCTTGGTCCTACGCACTTTAAAAAATTGAAGTGTAAGTCAGACTGCTCAAACATTTGTCCAACGAGGAAAGGTATACATAACTCTTAAAATATTTCAGGAAAAGAATTATAGTTCAAAAGAAGGAAATTCTGGTGTTGGAGCAGGGGGAGAAAGTCTGGGAGGAGTGATACTTGGGAGAGGGGGAAGAAGAAGGAAATGGGATAGAGAAAAAAAAATACCTAGACAGCTACCTCTTATTCTTGAGACTGCACTCCTGTCCAAACAGCCTCTACCTATCTGGATTCAAGTATTAGGTACATTCTCAGCTTGGTGGAATTCAAGCAAGATAAGAAAAAGCACAGTACGGAACCTAGTCAATCTTTCATAGCTGAATATTGGACCAAGCCCTCTGCCTTAAGGAAAGCCAGAAGAGACAAATTTTCTTTTTGTATGCTGCAAAAGCATGGAACTTCTCAGGTTGCGGAGTATTTTAAGTACATGAGCATGATATCAAGTTCAGGTTCGAAGTTCCAGCATTGCTTCAATTTCCTTAGACTTGAAAAATATTCAGGAAATGCAATTATTTTTGGTCTTTTTTTAAAAACGCATACTCAGTAAGGTGTTAAACAAAATTAAACTACTCGGCATGTGATGTTTTACATTTTTTTATTTTTAAGAATAGTTCACTTTGGCATGAAGTACCCGCTACCATATATTCCACAAAATAATGTTATCAGCTCAAACAGCAAGACTCAACTGTATCTTTATTAAATAAACTATTGCTAAATGTTTTAAAATMTCTTAAATATATCAAATTAGGAAGAGAATACAATTTCAGTTACAGGTGTTTTTAATCTAATGTACATTTCAACACTTCTACAGCTTAGAACGACACTTAAAAGAGAAGGAAGCAGTTCAGCTTGCATGCCGACTTGTCTTGTACAGTATCTGAGGATCCAACTTCAAAAAATCAGCATTTTTTTTTWAAATAATGTGTTATCTGTCCACACCAGTTGAATTAAGACCACCAAGTCATCTCACATACCACGTCAAGCAGTAGGGCAGTGTAATGGTTCAGAGCTCGGTTTAAAAATACAGAATATGTATCCACCCTCCAAAACATGGACATTTTAACTTAATATTTGTAAATCCATTTGAAAAGTAAGACACAGATAAAGAAACCAAGACATTTAATACACTAGCTTCTACAGCACTTAATTTGAAATTCAACACTTTGTTTAGCTGATAAATCTGTTCTGAACAGCCCAACCCATAATGGAATAAGTGAAACCTGCATCTTTATTACTATTTTTCTTAAAATGCTTCAAACTTATGTCAGTAAATAAAAAAATGAAATATGGTACTTCAGTGAGCATGACAAAGGTATTCCTTCATTTTATTGTAAGAAATAAGGTATATCAGAATATTTAAATGAATTATTACTTATGATCCTTATTAGAGACATTTTTAATTATATAGGAAATGTTTAAGAACATTTGTTTGCTATTATTTGTTTAAGTAACAGCAGGATACTCAGAAGGTAGGTCATGAGAAACATCAGTAAAAGCAAATACCTCCACAAGTGCAAAAGCTGGCTAACAGGATCTCAAGTTAGTAAGTCGACATACATATACAAAAAAAAAAAAAAAGATTTGAAATCCCATTGTTCCATTTTTTAGCCTCTGCTTTTCTTTAAAACAACCTGAAAAAAAAAAAAATGTTATCACTGTTTATACATATACAGTTCAGGCATCAGTAAAAGTTACTTAACAAAGTGGTGCCACTCAGACCAAAGGCTCATGCAGTTGAACAATCTGTCTCACGTTGATAAATGGTAAGTGTCAAGGAAAAGGTTACAAATTCAACAAAAGCATAGAAATATATTAGAAAATATTTAACAACTGAATACTCAAACTTTATTTAGCAAAATTATTAGGTTTTCTAAATGAGTGTTGAAAGTAGCAATAGCTCTGTCAAGCTCTCAGCAGATTCCTTAAAACTCTTATCCCCTCAGACGGAGACTAAAGAAAAAGCTAAGAGGTGCAATTGTTCAGCTACTATGCTCAATTTTTGTTTGCAATTTCTTATTGTAATGCCTTATTTCTAAATCAAGAGTGCCCAGACCCTTGGAAGAACATATTTTGGTTTGGAGTTTAAGTCAAAAAGTGAACTTCAAAGTCCAAGTGGGACCGTTTAAGTGTTAACTTTATTAAAATATGGGCAGTTTTTCATTTCTTCTCATCTTAAAAAGAAATAAATGGAACAAAAAATGTTCAAATAATATTAAGTTTGAAATTAAAGAGAAGTTACAAATGTATAAGATTCCAACTGCAACATTAACTTGGCTATCCTACACATCCTGTATATATTTCTGATACTTTCTATTACTATAGTAACAAACTAAACATTTTGGAAAAAAAAAAAAGGGGGGGGAAAAAAAAAGGACCAAAGATGAACAGAAGTCATCAGACCCAAACACTCAGTTTTATTATTGCATGATCCTGCTTGTGTAAGGCAGGTGGAATATATGATCTCCAAAGGTCCTTCCAACCTCATTCATGTTTTGATCAGGAACACTTCTGYTTCCCATTTGCCCAGCACTACTAAGATGGTTGAACAGACAACTAAACAAATTAGAGAGACTTGTTTCCCTATAAAACCTAAGTAAAACAGCCTAACAGAGTGAAATGAACTGCAGAACAGAGTCAGATTTTAGTCATACTTTGACACTACTAATTCATTGTAGAGAAAGAAGGTCAATTTGCCCCCTTCTTTTTTCACTTTTTTCATATACACACAAAGCTCTTATCAGGTACAATAAAGCAGACAGTTCCTCCTCTACAGATGCTCAAAGAGTATTTCTTGTTACGCTGAGCTAGCTATAGCACAATTCATAATTTAACTCTCCCTAACTCTACTTGCAGAACACAGTATCACAAGAACCACCTGTTTATTTCAGYAGTATCCTCACAACGTGGCAAGAATCCACTTAAAATCCATTTCAGAGTAAGCAAGCATGAATTTAATGTGCAAACAGGATACTCCAATCTCTTTGAGCTACTCTCGGCATTCTCAATAAAGTTTCATTTCTGCTACAGCAGTTCAGATAATATGCAGCTCACAAACTGAAGTTTCCTTGATACAACATCATCTAAAATAAATACCCTCTGACTTTGGAACTTGTTCCTGCCAGGTCTCCCAGAGCCTACGCTTCTCTCTCCCTATCCTAATGCCAAGACATTGAATGGCAGCAAAAGCAGATCTAGTTTTGACAGTTGCAGCTTTTCACAGACAGATTTGAATTCTTTCTACCCATTTGAATCAGGCACCAGCTCACATTGATTGTGAAAGCAGCAGGAAGCTATAGGACCTGAAACAATCCTACAGTACAGTACGGCACACCTAGAGCCACGCTGACGTGGCGCATGGCCTTCACTCCATGAATGCTTGTTGGAAGACTACTAGTACTCTTACATTATAATTTAAATAGAGGGGAAAAAAAAAAAAAAAAAGGACTATAGCGAACAGGGCAGAAAGTATTCCACTTGATATCTTGGTGACAGAATTATTACAGTCTTGTATCTAATAATATTAATTTGTTGCAGTTTTGGGGATTATGTTATATTATATTAGGGAACACTATCACAGAAAATCTTTGTTCACCCAGTCTTGATGCATGGTTCATTAAAGAGGAAAAGAATAATAATATTAAAAATGCTTTATTACCTTTGCTGCAGCTATAGTGTGCTCAGGTTTGATTATTTTACTTTTGTTTTCAAAAGCATTTGTCCTGGCTTCTTCTGCTAGTCGATGGAGAAACAGTAAGAAGTTCAAATGCACCTTTAAAAGGAAAATCAAAAACAATTCAAACTCCTCATACATAGTTTGCTTCAGTGAAATAAACACTGTTTGTTAAAGGTTGGCTACTGAGAAAGAGGATTTGCATATTAGGCTGCTTCCATTTTCCTAGAATGCATTATCGGGCAAAAAAATACCACTCAGTTCAAGTCTTAATAAATTCAGATATATGTATTACWGAAGACTGTTACAAATATAGTTAAATTCTGTGAAGTTCTGGAAGCGCCTTAAACAGAAAAGCAGATCACAGATGTCATCTAACAGAATTAAAATCTGATTTAGATTAGTAAGCTTTTTTCATTTTTTTTTTTTTTTTTTATAAAATGAATGCAAACATCAAATGGAAAATGAGAAGGACCCTTTTTGCTTACCAGTACTAGTACAGTCTGCTTCCAGTGACTAAAATGGTCAGTCTTTAATGAACAAAAAATTCATTCTTGCTTTATCACCAAGTGGACCACAGACACATTCAACTGTTTCTGCCGTTTTCCAGGGAAAGAGGCATTAACAAATTAATTTCTCCAGCACAAGCACTTCTCCACTATTGGGGGGGGGGAGGATCCATTTTTTGCAAGTTCATTGCTAAACTCTTCACATGAAAATAACAGGGATGGCAGTATCTGTTCAAAGTGCTGCTAGCAGTGAAGTGACAAAAAAGTATCCCAGAAACTGACCCATTATGTATTAAAACTGCCACACAAAAGCATTCTTTTTTCATAAGAAATTTATAATCCAAATCTCTAGACCTCTTCTATTGTCCAACTTTAAAATGGGCAATTTCACCTCTTACAAATTAAATCCTCAAACAAGCTATTTTAGCTTKATGTACAAAATATTCTGTCCACTAGAAGTTCAAATATATTACTGAAATATATCYAATTTATTTTGTTTAGATGAATTAAGTGATAAACGTACTCAAAACATATTTGACCTGCAAAGTCTAAAAAGTTCTAACAAGCAAAGCTACAATGTAAAAATAATATAAAGCTACTTTGGTAATAGGGTCATAAGAAGAGGAATATTTAAGGAGGACCAGCATTTTTGTGTTCATATGACAGGCGACTGGATCTTTTAATCTGCTGAACTACACGAAGTATCGCAATAGAAACATTTATGTAATATCTGCCATCATTTGGGCATATCTACCACACAAAAAGCAGATGCTCTTGCAGACTTATTTAGCAAAAATATCAAGGTTATTTTTAACCTCTTCCTTAACTACTCATGCTGAAATTATCCAAAATAATCCAACAGTGAAACTAAAATGGCTTTCAAATCAGATTACTAGATATATCTAAACGGAAATTAGATTTCTTGAAACCTGTGGGAGGGAAGGGAGGCTTGACACATTTTAAAGTCCTCTCCCATGATACCTGAAGGCAAAAGTGTTAATCTTAAATTGTCTTTAAAAAACACATATTCTCTCAGGCTCACTGCACTTTTTTATTTTCAAAGTGAATTACCCAATGTTGAGACACTCCCCTTAAACTCATATTGATTTAAAAGAAACACTGTTACATAAGTAAAATCAGAATGTACTACAATAGAATACAATAAAATACTACAATAAAATAGAATAGAGGTTTATCTTGTCTATTTTTAATTAAGAAAATTAAGAAAGGCAGAAGATGAGAATACCGTAAATCTCACAGTTGTTGGCAAGTACTTAAGCAATACCACACTTGTTTAAAGTTATTGCTTTACCGTGGTTTAGATCATCCTCAGAGAAAAACTTAAAATAGTTGTACAACGGTGCTCGTATCCAAGAAAAGCAGCAGTTGGTTTAACAACATATGAGAAATTGATAGCACTCTTGCAAAATGATTTCTGCACACCTGTTCAGCAGGACTCCTTGAGTTATTTTGCTGTTATAACTTTAAAAACTCTGTTATCTCTGATTTATTTTGCCTACAGACTACAGCTATTTCATCAGGTTCCATTCCCATAACAAAAACAAAAAAAGGTCATCGATACAATACCTTACACTTTTTTACATGCAAACACAAACCTGTACTTTTAGCTTAAGATAAGCAGCAGAGTTCTTGCTTTTCTTTTATAATATCAAACTGGAACAATGTTTGTGCAGAGTTTTCTTCTCAGACCATTCTAGCAGGAAAAAATAAATTAAAAAAAAAAAAAAAAAAAAAAAAAAAATCAAAAAGCTTAAGAAAAAAGAATCATATAAGTCCTCGTGGCAAAAAAAGGAAAAAACTAATTTTAAAAAACTCAGGATAAATCTTCTAAAAACTCCACTAACCCCAAAGAAAACCCCCCCAAAAAAAAAAAAAAAAAGGCAAGACAAAATAAAAAGCTTGTAGAGAAAGTTTCACAAAATTTGTTAGCAATACTGTGCGTGGAGAAAGTTGGTGGTCAAAGTTTCAAAATTCAAAACCAGACTTAAGCAGAAGGTGAAAGGATTGGGGGGGAGGGAAAGACTCAGTTTAGATAGTTAAAAACCATTTGGTTTCTTACGGTTAGTTTTTCAGACTTGTTCATATCTGACAAAATAAGGATATAATAGGTTAGACCAAGGAATATCACCAAAGAGACAGGAAAAACAAAACAAACAATAAGCAAACAAACAAAAAAAGCAACAKGATAATGTAGTAAGGCAGGCAGGCAGACCTCCTCACTCGACTAAGTACAAACACAGTGGATTCAAAAGTAAGCATGAAGTGAACATTCAGGAAAACAGCCTTCAAAATGAAATAGCTGATTCTCATATTTTCCTGCAGAAGCCACAAGTAGTCTGCTCAAAATATATGTGGTTTAGTCTGGTTAAAACAGCTAGTATATAAAAAGTGTGCAATCTAATCACGCTTATAGGATTTGTAGCTAATAACGCGGGCGGAGATGCTAAGAATACTTTCAAAACTTGTTGCTTGGTGATCTACAACAGGACCTCTGGACTTAAATTGTGCATTTTATTTTTAATAATAATAAAAAAACTAGAAATTAATACAGATGGAGTTTTGTTTATTTTTTTTTTCAAAGAAATATAAATGATAACTGAAAGCCCTATGCACAATCAGTACCCAGGAACACTGATCCCCTTGCGGATACAAGGTTAAATAAAAATAAAATATAACTTCCTAACATCAAAGACCTTTTAATCTGTCGTCAAAAGAGTAAACCTAAGCTTCCATCACATCATTAAAATTAATCTATGCTGGTATGAGTATTTGCATAGCCATATTTTAAGGCAGGTCAGGTGGCTGTTGTTCATTAGTTTCACTCAATTCAGTGCAAGGATTGCCTCTGCAGCCTCCTGGTCCTAGTGCCAGCACCGGGGATAGACGAGGACCAAAGGCTAAGATTTGGTTGGACACCCCTCCTATCCCTTTCAGACAGCTGCGCCAATCTGAAGCTAAATTAACATGACTGTGGAAACACAGGTGAATTATTACTAATGGCTGACCAAAATAAAAAAAAAAAAATAATGATTCTGAAAGAATGATTAGTTTAATACTGCATTCCTAATGATCAGTTCAATGTTGCATTCCTTTAGCTATGTTTTGGTGGCTTTGCGGGCTCCTTAGCTTATAAAATATTTCACAGATAACAGCAGTAGTAGGATAAAATCATATTTCTATTAAATACTTATTACCAAAAATAGGTGCTGTTTCCATTCAAGAGTAAATGCTGCTATGTAACTATCACAGTCATCTATATTGTTTTATGCATATTTTGTTATTTAGCTTCACATATCTAAATGTAAACCTTTAAGATGCTGCTAGATGACACTTTTACACAAATGAAACCCAGAACTGAAGTCAGGAACATGCGAGTGAGCAGTATGCATCACTGCAGTGAGCATCATGTCCTCTCACTATCAGGTACACTTGAAAACAAAAAAGCTAGGCAAATCAAATCATTTAAATTTATATATTTTATATATACATATAATGTATCCTTTTCTTTAGTATGGCAGCTACCAACAAGTTCTCTTGAGGCCAGGTTCCCTTGTTCCAGTTGTGCATGTACTTTATTGACACACACCCTTCTTGTGACATAAATCTCTCACTGGAGGTGAGAAGGAATGCAAGGTGCCACAGGGCCCTGTTATCCTTACGTGCTGATGGCAAGTGATTTTAACCTATTAAGAGAATTCCAACACTTCAACCTCTTCTCTCCTTTAGTAACTAGGCTCTTCATTCCCTAGGTTCAGAGCAAGATTACTCAGAAGGACTTCTGGAGATATGTGATGATTCAAGATGCCTTAAGAGCTAACTCATTAATCACAGCTCAGATAACTGATACCTGTACTCTCTAAGCTCCACAGAGCAGCAACAAACACCTGCATTACAGCTGTGTAATCCAAATGCCTATTTCCGAGTGTGCCTACATGGAAATTCTTTGAAGAGCAGCGTGCACGTGTAGGATAACACAGTGTTTATGCCTGTCTCTGAATCCTCAAACTTGCTGTCAGAAGTAAAGCTACAATGCAGTGGAAGGAAGCAGAAAGTCGCAATGACTACTTGCAAATAGCATTTTATCAGGCTGAACAATCACCACATTCCCCAAAACTTTGCCTGCCCTCTGCCCACAGGCGGCTGCAGAAACACTCTTAGTAGTAACTTCATATCCCACGGTTCACGTCTCCCACAGGGATCCAGGATACACATTCCATCAGTGCACTTCCCTCCCGGGATAAGGCACGTGGGATCCCCTACCCCATCCAAGGGCATTCCGAGCAGGGGCAAACCACGGCTAAACGCACAGGGGCCCAGCGGCGAAGACTCCCGCGCCGCACGGGGCTCGTCGCGGGGCTGCAGGGCTCAGCGCGGGAGCTCCCCCAGCCCGGGCCCGGAGGAGGAAGAGGAGGAGGAAGGCAGGGRGGGAAGATGGGAGGCTCCGCGCCCGCCCCTCTCCTCACCAGCAGGTCGCTGTTAGCCGCCAGCCGCAACTGCGGCTTGTGCTTCTTTATTATTTTCCGCAAAGTGCTGCGGGGCGCCGTGCGCTTCATCTTCCTCCTGCTGCTGCCGCGGCCGTTGCCGCCAGGGAAGGGCCCCGCGGTGCCCGCTCAACGGCCGTTCGAAGGGGCCGCCGCGCGCAGGCGCGCTGCGSCGTGACGCACTTCCCAACGGCCGGGCCGCGGCGCCGCCCCGCCCTTGGCTCGCCGTTCYCGGGCGCGGAGCCGCCCGCGCCGGGGCTCGCTGCCTCGGGGCTAACGGGCGCCGCAGGCCCCCGTGGGCCGGCTACCCGCGCACGCAGCTGCGTGTCAAAACGTTTCCCCTCGTCAGGCTGAAGCTGTACTTGCTATAGCAGGGGGGTTTCCCCAACGTGAACTTACCGTGACTTTGGGACTAAAAGCGAACACGGTGGTGGGCCAACTGCTTTTGCCAAGGCTCCGAGCTCTGCTGCTGGGATGTCCCAAAGCAGAGGGAAGGCCCCACGGCTGGGATGGGGTTGCCGCAGCCCCAGGCCRCTGAAGGAAGCCAGGCCTGGCGTGCAAATTTTAAAGCGTGATGAGTTTATTGTAGAAATCAAGGGAATCAACTGCACAGCAAGGCTGTTGGGTCCCCCTTCCTCAGGCGGCCCCGTGGGGAGGTTGACACCAAACAGCCTCGCAGGCTGCAGGGCCAGGACCCCRGTCAGCACGTAAACCAATACTCAAAGGAGCCTAAAACCACAGGAACAAAGCAGAGCATTAGCAGAGCATGGATGTAATCATGCACGGAGACACAAGCACCTTCTAAAAATCACCCCCAAGTGCCACCCCTTCTCTCGCCGGGTCTGTCCCTGCGCTTCCACTTTGGCCGACCGACACGCAGGTTTCCCTGCCGAGGGGCCTCTGCAGCTTGGCACTCTCAGTGTGTTTGCGCTGTGTATACTTAGTTGGAGAAGGGGGGGGGGGGGGTCAGGATTTCCTACCGACGTATGGAGTTTTTCAGAACATTTATTACTTTGTTGTTGGTTGTTGTTTCCTTTGGCAGACAGACTGTTTGTAAATTTAAATGTTAAGTCAGGAAGATAAATATATTTGTTTTAATGCATTTAATATTGTCAGCCAGGAGTACGTATTTCCAATAAAGCAGCCAGATATGAATCAGTTGTATTAAAATGTGTTATTATGTCCATATGATTTGATGTTTTAGTTAATTTTGCAACATGCACAAAAGGTGGTCCAAATAGAAGTACAATATCTGACAGCAGGAGAGAGTAAGATTTTCCAGCTTTTCATACACTGCTGGGTATTTGAAAGAAAAAATAAAATCAACTCTGTTCTTTCAGCTTTGTTATTTGCCATTAATCATCAACAACCAACCATGCAGATCCCCCAAATCACCGTCTAAGCTACTCCTTTCTGTAAATGGGTAAGCACGAGAAAACAAAGCTAGCTTCTCTGCAGTTTCACCGTAACAATCACACGGTTACCGGCTCAGCAGCACCAGGGGAAGCTCGTACTTGTTTGCTGAACACGACTGTGACCCCCAGGAGATGCACGGGGTCACGCACATAACACTTGTCATCGACACGCACAGCTTTGTGGCGGGATCAACAGTAATTCCGCACGTCAACAGGTCTGCGTGCGCAGCTGGGAGAAATCCGTGGCTCTGCTGGAGCTGAGAACTGGGCCCTGCAGTCTCTTTGCAGTCTGAAGGAAACTGGTGTGCACAGGCATTTTACAGGCTTCATCTATTGCAAGAGCACTTCCACTATAGATATAAAATTATTAAAGCAAATGMAACATAYATATTTGCAACTGTGCAATAAACACCATAAAATGAGATGCTCGGTACATGCACAGTTTTGATTAAGTAATGAAATTTATTCTTAAATGTAGTACTGATACTTTTGAAAATACATCTTTTTTTTAATGGATTATTCTTTTTTAGTTATAGAACATTAAAATGCCGGCACAAACCTGGTTATGTACCAGGTTTTCATTTTCTTTATGTGCTGAAAAAACTGTGACAGATTTATTACTGCAAGGAATTGGAAGCAAAAAGATAAAATGTAGGAATGTTAACTTTTACGTTCTGATAGAGTAAGCAGTCATCAGCTTCAATAGCTAAAGATTCTTATATACTTTTAGTTTATTCTGTTCATCAGTAAATATTTCTGTAAATATATTTTGAGTAATTCTACTCAAAAGCAAAGGCTATTTTGCTGTACATTTATGCATTGCAAAGGATAAAAATGTCTTAAGACTCATTATATGATTAAACCTCAAAAATTATAATTGTTTTTTTTAAAAAAAGCAAACAGATTAATGATGGCACTGAATCCTATGCCTGCAGGCTCACATTATGTTTTGAACTTCAACATACAARTTTGAGTCTTTTTGATGGAATTGATCTTCTGTACTGTCTTCTGTGCTTCTGTTCTATCATGAAGTACAAYTTAGACAGCTAAGAAAATCATGCAAATAATTGCAATGAATTCTGAAAAAGTTGAGATCATTAATTTTACCATGTTCATGCAATTTCATACAAAAGAGATAATTCTGTGCAGTAAGGATATTTATGTTTTATCTATTCAAAAAGTGCAGCAATTTTGCATTCATTTCTACTAGCAGTAGATAGAATTTCAAGGATTTAAGGTGTTTCACTTTTTAACAATTGCAGTTTTTAAGCATGCATTAGTTCTCTTCATGAAGTGAATGTGTTTTGTGGCTTCAGCTACAGTTCAACATGTTCCCCCTTTTCCAGCAAGGATAAGCTGTGTTTTAGAAGTGCAATCCAGCTCCGATGCAGACTCTAGGAATGAGCTGTAGGGAAATTCAGCAATTTATATGTCACCCTCCAGGCCTGAATTCTTAAAGGAAACAAAATTTTGCTCCCCCCCCCCCCTTTCTGAATAAAGGCAGTTTTGGCAACATATTTTTGACGCTTTTGCTCCCTCATTATGCAAGTTTCCTWAAAACATCTCACTGTAATTCAGTGACCAAAAGGAGGCCTAGCTYGGGGCCATCCCTACTGAACTGAAAACAGTAAACATTTTCTGTTATTTCTATAGGGAAACAGATAAGTTTAAAGACTTATTATATCTACCGCTCTCATAAAGTATACATTGAAGTATAAATAATATTTGGAAATTAGTTTCCTTTATGACCAGAAACTTTTGCAAGACCATCTCAAATTGTTATTTCTTTTYCTCCCAACCTGCTTTTTATAACTAATAGCGTAATTATTTTGTTCAGGAATTTTGACATTATCTTTAGTCAGGATCTTCATCAGCTCTTCATCAATTCATTATTTTAGGGTCAGTCTTCTTAAAGCTAAAGAATTTCATTTTAAATGTGTAATAATTTTAAATTAATAACAACATTTTATAGATTCTTGCTAAGCCAAAGGTCCTTCAGTTCTTACGTGGTCAGATATCAACTGTTAAATATTTTCTGGTGCTAATCCAGTTTCAGTGGTTGATGAAAGATTGAGACATATCCTGGATGCGAATGCCAAAGCCTAAAAAATCTTTTGATGTTTTCTTCAGTGATGAAAAGATATCCCTAAAACAGAACATAGCAATCCAGCAAAAGTAAACTCTTCTGTAAGGTAGTTGATAGGCTTGATCTTACTGGTTGGAGGTATGCAAGCTGACTCTCCTGTAACCTCTGCTATGTTATAGAGATGATAATTCAGATATAGTTGAAATTGTAGGTGGAGACACAGAAAAATAAGAGAAAGTACAAGAGAGGAAATAGTACATTTTCCTTCCATGGAACTTAAAGCAGACTTCCTACTTGAAAAAGGACCTGGGAATGGCTGCTTTGGCAAGCAACTTTTCTCCCCTGTGTGATACATCCAAACAAGGATGTGTTTGGTATTTACCTTTTAATTTCTTGAAGTAGTAAGTCATCAGGATCAGATGTTTAAAACTGACTTTTTTTTTCTGCCATATTTCTTTGTTTTCAGGCCTGGTGGTGAACAGTGAAGAATAAAGCAACTCCTCCAAAAGTTAAACAATGTTACTGTGCATTTCAAATACAATTTGCTTCCATAAGAGGCAGTTTCCAATGGAATCTCTAAAAAAGAATAAACAGTACCAAACTGAGTCATTTTGGGTGTCCAAAATGTGACTGCGCGTGTGTTGCTCTGGTGATGACCTTTCTAGATTTTTTGGTAATCTGAATTCTGCCCCTATGTCTGCTCAGGCAGACCCCCCCCACACACACACACACTTTATACCAGACACATTTCCTCCACCAGATTTCAAAAAGAGCAGATCTTTTCATAATCAGTTTTTGTGTTTTCTAGGGCCAYGTACAGACTTCTGGCAGCTCTGGGAATAATTTAACTAGTCTAGACATACCTAGGAGAAGGGGGAAGGAAAAAAAAAACTTTATCTGAGAAACTTCCACGAATCTAAGCAACATTCTGAACAATACCTATTATCTCCTATTTAAAACAAAAAAAAAAATCAAACCCACTCTTTCAAGTACATGTCATGTATTTTAACAAGAGGAGGAAGGAGAGTGCAAAACTCAGTGATGCACACTACAATTTTACTTTACTGAAAACTACTTTAGCTAGTAGAACTGATTCTCAGCAGAGCATTCAAAGATTAATTTAGGGATACATACACTCATCTATATGTAAATAGCAATTTTTTAGTAGTACTTATTAGGAAGGGTAGATTAAAAGCATCGATCACAGCACAGCCTAAATTTGATGGTTTTTTCTTTGTTTTTCATATTGTAGCCTCATTCCAAGAGCACAAGTTCTCACAAGCCTTTATAGGACCATGTGATTCCCTACTGTCTGTTTCACAGTCAGAAAGAAACTCCTTGAAATCCTRAAGGCCAAGAACTCTGATTTCAAATTAGCAATTTTGCTATTGCAAAAAAAAAATAAAAATAAAAATTGCAAAATGCTCCCTCTTTGTTCATTTCCTTCAGGTAACATCGGTCAGACAGAGTGAAYAGTGACCAAAGGGTTATCTGTGCCACTGCCTCCCACCATTTTTCCAGCCTTGACTGCAGAGGAAAATTGGTTATCCAAATTT